CTGAATAAAAGATGTTATAGAAAGCCTTAAAAAAGTTTCGTGTTTTGCAACAAAATCGAAACCTTTTTTTAGGTGTCGTAGAAATATGGCTCCGTAATGCCAATTTTCTAGAGACTGCATTGCCACATCATTGAGTCGCTGTCTATATCAATGTGTCCATTTAGAATCATAAGCTATTTATTGTAACCCTTACACTATCTTCTTAATCTATATCAATGTCCTTATTCTAACTCTTTTTCTATCTCTTTAACCCGTCTACGTTCTTAAACTAACCCTTATTTTCACCATTAAGGCTCTCTCAAAAAGTCACTGTTCGTCAAAATTAACGAAATTAAGATAAATGCAGTGAAATATAGCCCGTGATCTGATTTCTCATTTACGACAAAAAGGGTGGGTGGGGTGTGGGTGTGGGTGTGAGTGTGGGTGGGTGTGGATGTGGTGTGCGTCTGGGTGTGAGTGGGTGTGGGTGTGGATGTGGGGTTGGGTGTGGGTGTGGGTGGATGGATCGGTGGGTGGGGGGTGTGGGCGTGGGTGGATAGATCAGTGGATAGGGTGTGTGTGTGGGGGTGCGTGGGTGTGGGTGTAATTAAACAAAAGATCAACATCTACCCACACCCGCACCCGCACCCGCTCCCCACCCACCGATCCATCCACCCACTTCCTCCCACACCCTATATTTTACGTTACGAAGGAAATTGAGTTCTAAAAGAATTCAGAATCGGTAAGAAAGCTAGAAAAATTCAGAAACTTTTCTTTTTTTTCAGACAATCAGATAACCATGAAAAGGGAACAAAAACTAATATTCCTATGTCGAATTCATTGATTAAAACAGACATTGTCATTAATATAAATGCATTATTTTGATTAAAAATCAAATTCATAGCATTTGTTAAATTGAAATGCTGCATTTAATCAATAAATTTGACGTATGTACATTAGTTTTTATTTCCGTTTCATTTTCAGCACCGCAATTTTATTCATATCTTCAGTATAAAACTCAGAAAAACTATAAATCATTTGGATTTTTCTATTCCTTGAAACTTCGTTACATACTTTTATTTTTACAAAGTTAGCAGCTAGTTGCTTCTCTACGCATTGATATAAGAATCAAGAGTTTTTGAACAATCATTCAGAAATAGCTTAGCTCATAGTTCAAATCATTTTTTTTCAAAGAAATCAAGAAAATTGCTAAAATTCTCGTGATGTTGCTTAGTCGAACTTTCACTATAGATGTATGATTTGTCATTCAGTATATTTAAAATAGTTTTCGTTTGCACTTTGACTACGTTTTGTTCACGCTTGAGCTTATTTAAATTTAATTTTTGAAATGTCGAAAAGCTACATTTATTACTTCTAAATTAGAAAATCTGCAAAATGCCAGTAGCGTCAATTTTGAAAGTTCAATTTAATTGAACAATTCTGTTCAAGCTTCAACTTTGAATGTTTCTGTCACGTTATAATGGAAAGAGATATGATTTGACACTTTCCGCCTCACCTATAGGAATAGAAATACAATGTGAATATGATGCTGTTACTTGCATCGACGTTTGGCATGTATGTCTGATTTTTGTAAGAGTAATAAACTTAAGAAAAATTTTTGTTAGAATGTTTACGATTGAAATCCGAGAATATTAATATTTTCTTCTGCATTCTAAATAAAATGACCAATGGGTTTCAGAACTCACTTGAACGCTTCATTATTTTGTTATTAAATACTTTTCAATCAAATAGAACAAAACAACGTAAAGAATGAATTTGGGTCGAGGTTAGACTGAGAATGAAGTCTCAATATTTCTTAGATCCGACACTTTGCCTCATAAAAATACACTCATACCAATGTCAGACAAAGATCGACTTAGCCCTATTGTTTTCTTAGTAGTCGTCGAAGAATGTGAGCTGCTTCTCTTAAATGGATATCATTTATTGAAATAAACTAATTGTACCCGAAGGAAATAGTAGGGCAAATCTTTCTCCCTCCTTTCTTTTATTCTCTCGTCTTAAAATGCATACGATGTCTTCTTTTGAATTTTCCTCGTCCTCTATATTTTTCTTTTACTTTTTTTCTCAAATCATTCGATCTTTTTTTATGCTTTGTTTTTGTCTCTGCATTCATTTTCTTAACATCTACATGAGCAAAGACATTACTTAGAATAAGCATGTCGATAGAAATTATAGAATTCATTGCATTCAAGTCGCTACTTAACACCGACATATCATGTAAGTACTTCTAAGTGTTAGATTTAAGAAAATAATAATAAAATATAGTTAGTCGTAAAATATTCAAACTACTATACGAGTGCGTCAATTTATTATTTGTTCAATCTAAACATCGAGCACAACAAACTTATTTTAGATCGATTTATTCAACGTGATGAGGTAGTATTCTGGATTTCTACTAGAATACAGAAATTTCTATCGATTGATATAATTTTCCCGTCTCCTATGAAAATTAAAATAAACGATTGTTCTAAAGACCGTTTTTCTTTCGCAGAAGGTGGTTTTATTTTATTCTAAAACGATTTTTCATCAGATCACGAAATATTATCTCACAAAATGAGGAAGAGTCAAAAGTTCGCTGTCATAGATTCATATAAATGAAGTTTGAATAGAAATTTTACACCTTGCATAAATTGTTTCTTCCATAAAACGTATTTGTCTAATATTGATTATTTTCTTTTATGTGAATAGTCAGATACTGCAACAAGAGTACGCATTCTATGATAAATCCTACCTGGTTCTGTTTAGATTTATGAATCTCAACTGTAGTTATGATTACAGAACAATAAAAGTCGTGTGAGCTTGTAAAATGTGAAAATCTTGACTTTCTTCTCACAAATACAAGTTTCTGTTCATTTTTGAAAGAACAAGAATGAATAGTTGCAAAAGAAGTCATAATTAGTCAGCTACTAAAATATATTTCTAAGTTGACTATATACTGTCTCAAACCTAATTAGATATTGAGTGGCACCGACAGCTTTCGTATTATTGAAATATTAGTGCACCTATCTGAGTAGTTCTGACTAGAAAGAAAAAGCTCTGCATATTATTCCATTCAGAATCAAACTGTATGTGTTCCAACGTAATTGTAGTTTTTTATCGAAAGAGAACCCTAATACATCATCTTAACCCTTTACCTTGTGTCGTACGATGGGCTATTAATCCAACTTAACATAGTGGTTTTCAATATAATTGTATCTGAACACGATATTGAAAGAATGAGTCGTTATTTTAAGAGCACCCAAAAAAACTACAGGTCAGTCATGGACACTTGTTTTGATCTACGGTTTTTGTTTATTCATATGCCGTGTAGAATATGTGCATGTCTGTTACCATTTGCTAAAGCTCGAAGTCAACAGTCCGCTGCCGCACATGAATACTAAAAATTGAAGGGTTAAAGCTAAAGATCGAATATTAAATTTTTGGATTCATAGTCTAATAAGCCAATAGTCTAGTATAGAGACAGACCATCTGACTTAAAGTCTCAATCATTGCAGTTTTACCACGCATATTTGACCTCTAACTTTTTAACTGATAACAGAAATGCACATTTTTGACATCAGATGTATGAAAAGTGCAGCTTAGAGTCACCATCCATGGCTTCCTGAGCAATGTCCATAGGTTCTTGCAAATTCTCTTGCTTTTCTGGGATATTTTATGTTAAGCCCCTGCGATATTTTATGAAAACATGACTGATTCAGCAGGCACGATTTTTCATTTGTGAAATTCAAAGAAGACGTTAAAAAAAGCAAATTTCTTTGAATTACTCCATAGATTTGTTTATCTCATAGTTACTTATTTTGTTGCATTGGAGTGAAAGAGGATCCGAGTTAACTCTGCTTCTATTCTGTTGTTTTATCGAATAGTTCACATGACTCTAAGATATTCAAACAATGACCGGACTACTAATGATTCAGGCAGACGCTATACATATTTGCTTTCAGATAATGTCTCATATAAAGAATTATTTTCTTAATCTGAATCTTTTCACATCCGATGCTGACAATACAAAAAAAGACGATGATCATCAACATCGTTCGAATGTGATTGCTACTCGAGTCTAGCTTGTGCTTATGATACTTGCACTCATCATGGTTGCTTTGG